AAGTTTAGTATAATTTAGTAAATTTAATTAACTAATATATGTCAATATTCCATATACTGTCTCTTTTGTACCTGTATAATAAACCACCATAATACTACACATGGTAAAAGAGACAGATAATGAATTAGAGTTCATCACAAGTAGCTAGTAGATATACTAAAATATAAGCTGGACACAGTCAAAACACCATCATAGTAACACAACACTAAAATAATGCAATAAACATAAATGAACATAAGATATGACATCAAATCCTAATGTACATAACTGATAACAAAAATGAACAATACAAATAATTATTTAAAACAATGCCATCAAATGTAAAGTTTCTATGTAATGTAAAAACTTGTCATGAACTGATTAACAAGTTTTTACCGTAAAATTCTTACCGTCTTTTACCATTAAAATTACAAATATTTTCTACAGTTTGCACAGTGCCTTCTTTTTTATTATGTTTTAAACCAACCATATGCATTTTCTGACTATTTTCCTCCTGTGGTGTAAATATTACGTTTTCATTTTTCATTAGAAATGTTTTCATGCTTATATAAATAATTGTAACGAGACAAACTGATGTTACATTAAGTGAAAGTCAACTGATAGATAGGTTGTTTAGTTTACACCCAGCTGTGTGGAAAATACATGACATTGATTTTTAAGAACAAACCAGCCTATTCAGGTCATAGTTACTGTTCCTGTCATAAATAGCAACAGAAATCACAATTTCTCTCAGACATTCAACCAGGAAAACATGTCGTTTTTGAATATGACATAATTACAATTATAATTACAGTGTGTCAGCAGTGGAAACAGACTTGCAGTGCAGTGAAAACCACTGAGATCTTGTGATAAATAAAACGTCTGCTCTCTCATGTTAAAGGATTGATGGACTTGATGTTACAAGGTATTACATCAGTTTCAGACAGGGCATTCACTCACAAGATGCCTTAAATCAAACAACAGAGATTAGATTAAAATCACCATATTTTGATGACGTCTGCTTTAGTGCTCAATTAGACATTCAGTCCTCATATTGTGCATTCTGTGTTGTCTTTGAGTTTGTATCTGTTTGTAATTCTCTCTGCAACATTTATATATTTTGACATGGTCTATTGTCTCACTTTTCTTGCAGCACTTCCTAAAGTCTCTCGCACCATTACCCCTTCTCCACAGACAGGGTGCCGATGCTCTCAAACCAGGAACTGCACAGCATGAGTGGCCTGAGGAATGAGATAATGTCCTTGCCAAGTAAAGTTTTCAGAACAATAACAGCTAGATTGCTTCAGATGTAATCAACTAAGCTGTCTACAATGCAAGTACCTGATGTGGCGCATTCAGTAATTTTGTCACACTACAAAGCTATTCCAGACACTTGACGTTCCCTGTCTGTCTTCGAATAGTTTACAAATTATTATTTACATATTTGACTTAAGTCTATTAATTTTCTTATTCATTTTGCTCTACTCAGCTACTATTTCCAATATTACAGCTATGTAATGTGACATATTAATGAGTGACATTTACGAGTTAAACTGATTATTTAGGGTTAGTTCACCCAAAAATGAAAATTCTCTCATTACTCATACATGTTATTACTCACCCTGATGTCACATGGATTATTTTACTGATCTCCTTGCTACGTTTCGGGACCCTTGCTGTCTATGGGAGGGTCAGAGAGCTGTCAGATTCCATCAAAAATATCTTAATTTGTGTTCCGAAGATGAACGGAGGTCTTACGGGTTTGGAACGACTTGAGGGTGGGTAATTAATGACAGAATTTTAATTTTTGGGCGAACTATCCCTTTAATTAGAAAAATGCAAAATGTTAATCAGTTGGATTGTGATGTGCTCCATACAAGAATATAGGCACACTAAATGTGAATTTACAGAAATTTAAATACAAAGATTGTGCCATATTTGTTTGTGGGTATCAGTCCACAAATGCCTCATATGAGCACTGGACGAACTAGCTCTGTAGGCAGTCGAATGTAAGATGATAGTATTTCATGCAGTACCACTGCAAATGCTAGCACCCTGCAGCAATATATTAGAGATATATTGTACTGCCATCAGTAGCAAAAAAGAGCTCCTAATACTAAATGAGAAAGAGCTCTCTATTTCTATAGAAAACTATCTTTGAAATCTCTGAAATGTGCCGTGTTCAGTAGGATGGCAATGCAGCAAATAAAATCAAGTGTACTAGATCACCCATGATATTAGTGGGGTGTGATACTGGTAATTGGCAATTATGAGTCTTTTAGCTTGAAGGATTTAAAGAGATAATCTGCAATTCTCTATAGAAGTGCAAAAGAGGTGCGGTGACAGTCATGTTCCTCACAAAATGCCACATTCTCTAAACATGGTAAGATTGATTGCTTTTTTAAATGTTTGCGGGGACAGAGCTTGTTCTTTGCCATATGCAATTACATAAAGTCGGTTTTGATAAAAACATCTCTCAACCTCATACATAATCTACTTCGTATAAGATGTACAGTATGAAGTTGGCAATCACTTTACTTTCACATAAACACTTGGGAAGTGTAACTGTGTGTGTCCACTTGTCTTTTAAATTGAACTTTTTTTAGATTTGATTTAGTGATCAGATTTGGCTGTGATCACATTGGCTACAATGTGGCTGTATGGAGTAAAGACACTGATATGAAGAAAGCGGTAAAAAGTCAGTGTTATACTCAATATCTTTAAAAGAGATAGTTCAACCAAAAATTTTGATACTGTCATCATTTACTCACCCTCATGTCATTTCAAACCCTGTAGCATTTCTAGCCTTTAATCACTACTGGGGCATAGGCCCCCCTATCAAATACATATTTTAATCTTTGATACTCACTTTTGATCTTTTGATTAGATCAAAATTGTGATTAATTTGCGAATCTGGCATCGATGATTGAAAGCACACAGCACGATTGCTGAAATATTTTCAGGGAAAATGATTCTCAGGTTGTTATATTGTAATCTCTATTGACATACAAGGATTTATCAGAAATATTATACAGAGAAACTGTGATTTATTTACTGGGGCACCAGTGAAATGGTCTAGCCCCTGACCAAATCTATGTCTGATTTACTTCTACACTGTAAAAAAAATTCCGTAAAATTTACGGTAAAAAACGGCAGCTGTGGTCACATAAACACCAAACACCATCATGGTAACACACATGAAACTGAAATGATGCAATAAACATTCATTTAACAACATTAGGTGTAACACACAACCCTAATATACAAAACTGACAAGAAAAAACTAAGAAGAAACATAGTCATTTCAACAAAAAAACCATCAAATTTGAAATGTAACGCAGGGAATTCTGGGAATGTCAATTTACGGTTATTCACTGTAAATTATACTGTCTTTTTCACTTCCAAAAATGGTATACTACCGTAAAATTAATGTCCAATATATGTAATGTCCAATACAGTTTTTCACCGTATATAGTAGGGGAATTTACCGTTAACCATTTAACAGGTTTTTACTGTAGCATTTTTACAGTCTTTTACCGTTGAATTCACGGTAATTTTTTACATATCACAAAAGAAAATATTTTGAAGAATGTTAGTAACCAAACTGTTCTGTTTCCCCTTGACTTCCATTGTATCGTTAATCTATATAGTGGAAGTCAGTGGGAACCAAAACTATTTGGTCACCAACATTCTTCAAAGTATCTTCTTTTGTGTTCAACAGAAGCAAGAAAGTCATACAGGTATGGAACGACATGTGGATGGGTAACTGCTGACACAGTTTTCACTTTTGGGTGGTCTATCCCTTTATTCATTGTTGACGGTCAATTAATTGTTGACAGTTAATTGTTATCGATCAGAATTGCACTACAGAATCCAACTAGCCTCTGTTATAAAAGCTGAATGTAAATATCCACAGAAATATAAAAAACCCTCCATTCCCACTATTCTGAGATGTCAAGGTAAAAAAAAAGTTACCCCCTGCCTGTGCTGAAACAACTAGTAGTGAAGCTCTCATTCCAGTGCACACACACACAGGTTTGTTTTTATGGTTTATGAGGACTCTCCATAGGCGTAATGGTTTTTATACTGTACAAACCGTATATTCTATTGTCCTACACCAACCCTACCCCTAAACCTACCCCTCACAGGAAACTTTCTGCATTTTTAGATTTTCAAAAAAACTCATTCTGAATGATTTATAAGCCTTTTGAATTACGGGGACACTGAAAATGTCCTCATAAATCATTGGATGCACCTCCTCCATGCCGGCTGTTCTCTCTTAGGGCCACCACTCCACAAACTCTAGATCAGCAATGGAATGTGCTGAGCACTGGCAGGATCAAAAGCCCCGGCCAGCTCCCTCACGTCACCTGACCGGAATCCAATTAAACCTTTATGGGGGATCAGAGTGATGCAGTGTGTTTGCATGAGTGTGTAAAGAGGTGAAACGGTGGGGGTGACTGAACAATGTTGCATCTCGATAAATAGTGATAGGAGGAGTTGGGGCACACACACACACACACACACACACACACACAAGTGACCTGATCCAGTCCCCAGGGCAAAAGTTGTATGAGTCTAAACTTAATGAACATCAGGTGCTCTTATTTAAGCAACATGCTACAGTCCGGCTATAATAAAGATTTAAACACAAAGGTCAATATAGTCCCTTTATAAAAAGATGTTTCACACTCTCAGATTGGGCAAAGAATTGAACTATTAAACTGAATCAAAAGTCTATTTGAGGGGCAGGATGCTCTATTTTATTGATCCTAATGTAATGGATCACCACAGACAGCTGAAGTCTAAAGTTACAAAGTTCCATTACGCTTATAACTCAATAAGCAGGCTTCGATGTCGACGCGAAACGTCAAAGCGTGCGGTAGAGGAGAGATCACTGCTGATGAGATGATCGACTCCCCCGGGAGAGCGGGGACGTCACAGCGGCGGACAGCCAGCCAGGCATCCCGGAGGATCCGCGCGCCTCCTCCTCCTCCTCCTCCTCTGCCTGAGCACACGAGCTCTGAGGGAGGATTGTGGATAGTCTCTTCACGCGTGGAATCCTGCTCACGAGGATTTCGGGTGTGTAAGGAAATGTAGGGGCTACTACTACACCACGAGCCGGATTTATTACGAGTTCTGACTGAATCTCCATGCGAAGACATGCTTGCATATTCTTTTTGCCAACACATCCTGGAGATCATTTAGACGCAACTTTGGAGCGGCTGCTTTTGCCCGCTGAATCTGGTGAGCCTCCTTCACAATAGCTTTTCAACTTTGCCACATGCGGCTACTTTTACTACAAAATGCATTACAGAAAAAAAGCAAAACAGAATTACTGTTTCTGTTACTACAAGAACTACTCCTTTACTTGTGGTACCAGCAATACATATCATAATTATTGACATCGTCATTACGCATAATATTGTATGCTCATGCATAGGCAATGTGCACACGCAACTGGACGTAAGCATTATAAAGTGAGTTGCACAGATTGAGGTATAGAGCGCACAGCCTCGCGGATCGCACGCGCTCTGGCTCAGCAGTGAGACAGCGCCATCATTCGCGAGCAACAGCGAGCATGTGCCGTTAACACGGCTTTCCGTCGGACGATACTTTCCCTCGGTTTCCATGTGGTATGGAACGTTGCTTTGAATTTTTAGAGTGTTTGTGTTTGTTAAATATACCTCAAAATGTAAAGATTGTATGTCACTATTTCACTGTACCAGCCCGGGAAATGATACGATTCACAACACCACAGCAAAGATTAGCAAGCACTTCTTAATAAAGCAAACATCACCTTAAGTTCTCAAACACTTAAAGCCAGAAAACCAGTTAATAATAAAAAAGACAAATAAAGACGAGTAGGCTACCAAGATGAAGTTTTTCTTTTTCGTGTGTCTTATATCAACAGGCTAAATAATCGGAAAAGGGGTAATAAAATATTATTTTGATATAGTCATTTACAATACATTAGGCGAATACATATCACATCTATTAAAGTTATGGTGCCATGGTTTTCTCTTTTCATTGGGCTATATTGTTGTTTGGTTTATTCGCCTGCATTTACACTGCACGACCTGATCTATAAATGTGAAATTTTTAAACATATATTCAGCTTTTATATTTATATTCGCCTAAAAACTTTATTAACATTAATAATCACCAAGATAGCATTTGAATGAATGGTGTACAACCGTTCAGTTGCGAACGCTTTTCACAGTCGCATATGCGTCAGAAAACGCAATAATGCTGTAGAAAAAAACTGGTATTGATATATATTTTTATTTTATCTATGGGCTTGGTACCGAAGTGTTACTTCCCTAGTGATATGTAGCCTAATGTAGGTACCTTGCGCGTCAGCCTTTATCATGACAAGTATCTCAAATGCTGACAGCCATGGAGATCATTTTTCTGCTTCGTTCCCAAACGTATGATGTAGCATATTTCTTCATTAGAGACAGAGGTTTGGCACATAAGATAAAACATCAAAGACTTCTCCTGTCCCGCTGTGAGGGGAGAGCGACAGCCGTTTCATCTTCATGCCAACAGGAAGTAGATCCGTGCGCTGTGCAAGGAGCGCGGAGAGATATTAAAAGCGCTTTGTGTGTGTGTGCGGAATCGGATCGGAGAGTTCAGAGAGAGCGGCTGAGAGTGACGGTACCATGCAGAGATTCGGAACTTACAAACTTCATGAAAAGCCACCAAGCAAAGGACGTTAGTACTGAAATAGGTACGTACGATTAGGGAAGTCTTAATATTGCGCGAGGACTTCTTGGACGTGTTCTAGTTTTGGGCTATTTTCAGAAATGCGTAAAAGTTTCAGTCAGCTCGCGGTGGGAAGTTGCCGTTGGGAGTCCTCCACTGCTCTCCGTAGTGGAAGTAGGGCAGCTTTTAAGTTGACCGTAGCTTGGCAAAGCTGTTGGAATACTCGATGTGTTCGGTTGCAGTTGAATTATTTAAGATAAGCGGTCCAGAGTGGTCAGCTAATTGTTTTCGAATGGGAACAGTTGATACATCTGGCCAGCGCGTGAAGGCATCAGTGTGGCGACGTGAAATGAATAGGAACTGAGGGACTGGGGGATGGGGATACACTTTAACAACGGAGCAGAAGCCCGTCTTTTGTTACTTTGGTATTTTGTTTCCATTCCAAAAGCTAAATTGCTGTATATTTAGGAGAGTTAACACTGAGGTTCCTTTGAAAACATTCAAATAGTAGGCTATGTTGTTTAGCAGTGTTGGGGGTAACGCATTACAAGTAACGCGAGTTACGTAATCAGATTACTTTTTTCAAGTAACTAGTAAAGTAACGCATTACTTTTTAATTTACAAGAGAATTTAATTTACAAGTTACTTTTTCAAATAAGTAATGCAAGTTACTTTTTTTTCTTCAATTTATTGATTGACAGATCTGGTGTCCCCATGTTGAGAGAAATCAGAAGATGTTACTGTAGATCTAAAATAAATATGAATATGCATTAATTCATCTCACTCACAAAAACAAAACAAAAAACAGATTCAGTATTCCTCAAAATGAATAAAAATAATGCAACTCAGAATATGACACAAGCCTGCAATAATTAAATGTTAAACAACACAAATATCCTTTATGTATTTAATCCCATTCTATTAACCAGTGTTGTTAGGAATTGCTACATTGCTCTGTCTTTCGTCGACAAGCTAGCCAAATATACACGGCTTTTAGCGAATGACTTAATGCGAACAGATGAAACGAATGCTGAAAGTTTTATTAGAGATTTGTTTAATATGGTTGGCTATGCAAATGACACTTTCCTGATGTGTAGCATATCAGAAAATAGACAAAACAATATTAAGAATACTACGAACCACCATAATTATGCCTTTCTTACGGCTAATACAAAGCATATATGAATACATAGGTAATAAGCTCTTGTTTACAGTGTATTAGTGAGTTCAAGAAATCATGCAGATCAAATTAGGGATGAAAAATAAAGTTTTCGTATTTGATCAGTTTTTCACATTCATTGATTTCCTACTTATGAACATAATATTGAATACATCTCTCTCTCTACACATTGTATTGTTCTTAGCTGAAGAAGATGTATGGCAGGAGGCAGTGAGAATAATGTATAATTTATTCAAGAAGCAGTGAAATGTGACTTTATATGTATACACAAAAGGCACTTCCATCCTCACTGTGTTCACGACAATTCATCATTTGGCCTATCTGCTGTCATGGTGTCTGTGGTGAAGTTGGAAATATAGACAAATAGTCAGCGGCTGTGTCTATGAAAGCTGATGCACTAATCATATTTGTTTTGAGTAATGATATGCCATAAACAGATATTTCAAAGTTGCCTGTCAGTTTCTTTTCTGCTGCAACCCAGATATTAAGATTAAATTATCTTAATGATCATTTAGGAAGTGTTAATATGAAGTTTTCAGATGAAAGACTCAAACCATGTAAATATGTCCCAAATGTACTAAATCTATTAAAAGTGGCGCTGCATTATCTCTTAACTTTTTTCTTTTTATTCTCCACAGTTTCAGTGAGGAGTGTGCTGCAAACATGCAGAACCACGTGACTTCACTGCTGGTGGTTCTGCTGCTCCTGTGCGGCTGCACTGGGATCCAAAGCCTCGACACTGCGCCCATCCCTCTGTTTACCCAGTCTGTTTACAATGCAACCATTTATGAGAACTCCGCTGCTAAGACCTATGTGGAAAGTCCTGTCAAAATGGGAATCTACATCACAGACCCTACCTGGGAAATACGGTACAAAATCGTGTTGGGAGACAATGAGAACCTTTTCAAAGCTGAGGACTATCAATTGGGAGACTTTAGTTTTTTGCGAATAAGGACCAAAGGAGGTAGCAGTGCCATTCTTAACCGGGAGGTTAGAGACCACTATATTCTCACAGTCAAAGCCATGGAAAAGAATTCAAATGCTGAGGCTCGAACACAAGTCAGGATTCAGGTACTGGACACAAATGATCTTCGGCCACTGTTCTCTCCAACCGCTTATAGCATATCTATACCGGAAAACACAGCTATTCGCACAAGCATAGCCAAGGTGATGGCGACGGATGCGGATATCGGTACGAACGGAGAGTACTACTACAGCTTCAGAGAATGGACGGACATGTTTTCGGTCCACCCCACAAGTGGTGTAGTTACGCTAACCGGAAAGCTGGACTACTCTGAGACAATGCAGTATGAATTAGAGATTTTAGCAGTGGATCGAGGCATGAAGCTGTATGGTAGCAGTGGATTTAGCAGCATGGCTAAGTTAACGGTACGAGTGGAGCAGGCCAACGAGCATGCACCGGTCATCACTGCTGTAACCCTAGCACCCTCAGACACTGACAAGGACCCTACTTATGCTGTTGTGACTGTCGAAGACAATGACCAAGGTGCTAACGGTGATATAGCATCTCTCAGCGTGGTTGCAGGCGACCCTCTTCAGCAGTTTAAAGCCATGCGGACAAGTCCAGGCAGCAAGGAATATAAAATCAAAGCAGTTAAGCAGGTTGACTGGGATAGTCAGCCCTTTGGATACAACCTAACACTGCAAGCCAAAGACAAAGGAAGTCCACCCCAGTTTTCATCTGCAAAGGTCATCCATGTCACGTCCCCCCACTTTAAAGTAGGGCCTCCTAAGTTCAATCAAGCTATTTACAGAGTCAATGTGAGTGAATTTGCACCACTGCACACACCTGTTGTAATGGTAACAGCTGTGCCAAAGTATCCTCAGCTTAAGTATGCATTTAGACACAAATTGGATAAAAATCATTTTGCCATTAATGCAGATTCAGGCTTGATCACAACAGCTGGGCCCCTCTACGCAGACTCCGTGAACAAGTATGAATTAGAAGTTGTGACCAGCGACAAAAAAGCAGCTGCAAAAGTAATTATCAATGTGATCGACGTGAACAACAATGCCCCAGAATTCAAACAGACATCTTACAAAGCTAGCATTGATGAAAATATGCCCATAGGTACTAGTGTACTAACAGTGAAAGCCACTGATTTAGACAGTGGGGAAAATGGATATGTCACTTACAGCATTGCCAATGTGAATCCCCAGCCGTTTGTCATTGACTACTTCTCTGGTGTCATCAGTAGTTCAGAGATTTTGGATTATGAACTGATGCCAAGGATTTATACCTTGAAAGTGCGGGCGTCAGACTGGGGTTCCCCTTTTCGACGTGAGGTGGAAACTCAGGCTACAGTCACACTTAACAACTTGAATGACAACAAGCCACTTTTTGAGAATGTGGATTGCGACATAACTGTGCCAAGAGACCATGGCGTTGGTGAACAGATCACAACGGTGTCTGCTATTGATGCTGATGAGTTGCAGTTGGTGAGGTACAGAGTGAAAGCTGGGAATGACTTGAATCTTTTTGAAATTAATCCAAACTCAGGCGTTCTGTCTTTAAAGCAGCCTTTGAGTGAGGGCGAGGCAGCAAAAGTGTCCTATCACAGCTTGCAGATCATAGCCAGTGATGGTGAACGCGAAACTCAGCCCATGTTTTTGAACATTACGGTCGTTATGGCGCGTAAACCAGTCCAAGTGAACTGTATTGATACTGGAGTTGCCAGCATGCTGGCAGAAAAGCTGCTGCAAGGAAGCAAGATCCACAGCCAAAGCGAACCCGAAGACCACTTCCAAGACTTTCACTCCGTGAATCGCGTTGCGCCCCAGTTTGCAGAAACTTTTCCCAGTGTGACTGAGGTCAAGGAAGACTTGCCTGTTGGGGCCAGAATTGTCCATCTTAGTGCCACAGATTCTGACAGTGGTTTTAATGGAAAACTGGTTTATGTTATCTCTGGGGGTGATGCTGGGAGTCGTTTCGTCCTTGACATGGACAGCGGATGGCTCAAAGTGTACGCACCTCTTGACAGAGAAACAACTGATCACTACACATTGAACATTACCGTGTATGACCTTGGAATACCCCAGAAGTCATCTTCACGTCTGCTGGATGTAAAAATCCTGGATGCTAATGACAACAGCCCACAGTTTTTACAGGACTCATACTCCGTGGACATCAGCGAGGGCACTGCGGTGGGCACAGAGATCATTCAAGTTGAAGCAAAAGATAAAGATCTTGGCGATAATGGCGTGGTCAGATACTCCATATTGGCAGACACGGATCAATTTTCTATTGATACAGAAACCGGGATCGTTACGGTGAAGAAGCCTCTAGACCATGAAGTGCAACCCAGTTTTGTGCTCAAGATAGCAGCTCGTGATCAGGCCGCTGCTGAACCTCAACTTGTCTCGACTGTGTTGCTTAAAATCACACTGGAGGATGTAAATGACAACCCCCCAAAATTTATTCCTCCAAACTATCAGGTGAGAGTACGTGAGGATCTACCCATTGGTACTGTTATAATGTGGCTGGAAGCTCACGACCCTGATGTTGGGCCATCTAGCCAGGTACGATACAGCCTCATTGACAGTGGGGACGGGAAATTTGAAGTAGACAAATTAAGTGGTGCCATACGAATCGTTCAGAATCTGGATTACGAGAAAAAGCAAGTGTACAGTCTCACAGCAAGGGCGAAGGACAAAGGGAAGCCGATATCTTTGTCCTCAAGTTGTCACATTGAGGTGGAGGTTGTGGACGTGAATGAGAATCTGTACAGGCCATTGTTCCCATCATTTGTGGATAAGGGATTTATAAAAGAGGATGTGCCCATTGGAACATCAGTGATGAAAATCACAGCTCAGGATGAGGATAAAGGAAGAGACGGAGAAATCCGTTACTCCATTCGGGATGGGTCGGGTCTGGGGATCTTTACTATCGACGAAGAAACTGGTAAGTTATCTTCCTTTCTCTTTTATCCGTTCATGACTGGGGCGGGGTTGCGGGGGATATTATGTCGGGTCATGAATTATTCAAGAAACAAATCTTCTATGCATGAAAGTGGCCGGTGATATGAACGATGCGAGTGTGAAAGGACTTGCTGTATTAGAGGTGTTTTTTTTGGGTGTACAGAAGGAAGGATTCATATTTTGTGTGGCATCAGTTGGAGACTTGCAGGTTGGTGGTAGCAGTTGGATGTCTTTGAGAGAGCTGATGAAGAGCATCCTGATTCTTTTCATTTTTCCGCCGGAGGAGAGAGAATTGATGGCAGGAACAGATGGAGCAGCTGTCTCTTGGACCTGCTCTAGACATTCCACACTAGTTGCCGTGGTATTAAGAGGATTGCTCGCCCTCCCCACTCCCTACTTCCTTGCACACATATTTTTCTACTTCATTCTTTCTCTCTGTCTATTTTTCTTTTTAAATAATCAAATCAAGCACTGGTTATTTCTCATTTATAGATTATTTTGTTATGTAGGCCATAGGGTACTCAACGTGTATTAATGTGAGCCGTTGAGAGTTAGGGAATGGTGCTTTTTGAAGCAAACACATTTCAAAAGTCAACATCTGGCCTCATTATCTTTATACAAAGAATGTATTAATACCTAGCTCTCAGCTGCCCTGACCACTCAAAGCACCTGTGCCAAAAGCTTAAAATAAGCAGTCTAAGCAGTCTTTGACACGGAGTAACTATTGGCCACCCAGTAAAAAAATGAAAGCCTTATATACCCAAAGCTCAATAGACTGTGAATATTAAGTGGGTTTTTTTGGGGGGGGGGGGAATTAATGTTATTTTTATGCCGAGCTAAATGATTAATGTACAAACAGACCAGTGAAACGTCATGCCTAAAATATGTTTTTGTGCATGCATGCAATCAGTGTCTGTACTTTATGCATAACAAATCACCAGGTTAGTCAAGGTGGAACTGTATTACTAGTTGTACTGTAATTCGTTTCAAGGAAGCCAGGCATGTCTACCTAAGAAAGTAAATTAGCAGTATCCCCTTTGAATCCCTTTTAATAAATTTTGCTTTCTTGGGTGGTAAATTTAGCATGACAGGATGTGCTGGCATAGGGATGTCCCCCCCAACAAGACCATCTGTTGGCCATTGTGCCTGCCCAGTCTTATGGAGATTGGGCTTTGCTGCAGTTCCAATGGATGGAAGCTTATTTAAAGGTTTTTCCAAGTTGATTTGGGTACAGAAAATAGTTAAATAGTGTCTTGGGTGTATCAAAAAGTTAGAAACCTGAATGAGTTTGTCACCACCACAGATAACGCTTCTGAACTTTGCAGGGCTCAACAATAAGGATGGTCTGCTGACCTAGGGCCAGTGTGAGAAAGTTTTGATGAATTAACAGAACTGTCAGTTTTACATTCATTGATATTGTAGGCCTCTATCCTTTTATTGGTGCGGTATAATCTCCATATCAGTTTTAATCTAATAGTTACCGTTAGAGATGCACCGAAATGAAAATTCTTGGCCGAAGCCGAACAAAATGAAACACTGGGCCGAAGGCCGAATACTGAACACGGTTTTCCACGTCCCCAAGCCCCCGTCCCCCCGTCCCCCCCATTTTGCCAATTTTTTCACCATTGCATAAATTAAATAGCCAAAATGTGCTTTTTACTGTTTTGTCTTGCTTTTCAAAGAAAAAATCATTTACAAAACAACAATGTAAAAATATTTACTTAACACTGAATTTTTTTTACATTCTAGCAGACATTATACCAATAAAACACAACTTAACTTAAAATTAATAAGTTAGTAAAATAAAAAAAATTTGGCCATTTTTGACTTGAATCAGGCATGCATTACCTTGTAAAAATTCATACAAATTTTACTGAGCAGCTGACGAGTAACGCAGTTTCAGCGCAGATTTCCCTCGCACTTTGGACTTTGAACCCTGCCGCCGTGAGCTCGTGCAGCGCTGTTTGAACACGTGCAATTCCTGCGTGTATTAGAAAACATAACATTCTGCAGTTTATTTAATTGTTTAAGGGCATTTTGCGATTTTAATTATCATACAGTAACCAGCAACAACCACCCTTCCTCTTCTCATCGAAGACATGCGATGTAGTACTAAACAGTCTCTCGCTGTCGGTGCTTGTAATGATTTTTGTGTCTTTCTCAGACAGCTTTAAATGTTTCCACACTGCCATCATGTTTGCTGCATTAGCGCGCGCCTCTATTTGATTATACACGTCTTTGTTCGGTACAATATATTCGGTCTGTTTGCTTATTCGGCCGAACACTGAAATAGCTTTTTTTGCTATTTTCAGCCGAATAATTTCAGTTGCCGAACATTTGGTGCATCCCTAGTTACCGTGAGGTTTCGTGGTTCTGAGTATTGTCAATTGAGAGTCCACTCAGCACCACCCCTAACTAGAGATGCAGGTCACCAGGAGTCTCTGACCTTCTCCCCTGCTCTTTGACCCCCAAATCGATCTATCTGCTCTGGCAACCATGCCATTGTCTATTTCAGAGTCCTATTGTTAAGGATCATAGCCAGGACTGGTAGTAATGCAAATATGCCTGAGGTAACAGCAGCTCTCTTGGGAATGGAAAGATTAGAAGAGGGATGGGTAGGAGTTGTTCAGGATTGAGGTCACTACATGTGGGATGAATATCGCGTTTCAAGCAAGGAATCAATCTTTAAACTCAGGTTAGAGAATAGTAATAAAGAGCCATTTGTCGTTCTGCACTAAATGGGCATTTCAAGAACAAGGGGTCACCGTTGCTGGAGGCTATGGGTGTAACTTTAGTCATGTTTTATGAGAATGAACACCAAAAGAAAGACTGAGACACATCTGGGCCAGATTTGGTGCTTTGGACTACATTTTCCATGTTGTTTACCCATTTTATTCTCTGCTTCTGCAGACCCCACAGGGGGGCAAGGAATGTGCAAATTAAATGTTTTCTGTCGTTCATTTCTACCCCCCATTTTGTTCGCCTCAGCCCTACATGTTTGACTTCAGTAGTTCCGCCTCGTAGGAATGTTAGGCTTCCGTCATTTATATCCCGTCTTCCCATAGATGTATTTTTGTTCGTCTGAGCGGAGCAAAAGCTTCCCTCAAAAACCTCCGATTTGAGAAACATAGTATGAGTTAAACTATTACTGACACAATAGAAATTCACCCGATTAATGCTTGAAAGCATAATGGTTACTTGAGATTGTGTCTCTGTTTTTTTTGGTGTGATTTGGTCTGCTTTTCCATCTCAGCAGTAAATACCAAAGCTAGAAATCTGTCTGTAGAACCTCCTGCAGTGTTTACATATGTGATTCTCACAAACATGTCGAGAGCAGAGGGCTATAATGGGCCCTGGTGAGACCTTAGTGCTCAGGCCAGGCACATTCTGCCTCAAGTTACACACACACACAAGAAGAGATGCACAAGTCAATGAGGTATGCAGCTAAACTGATTGATGCCACCAGAGCTGTGCAATGAGCTAAGTGCCTTTATTTAATAAACCTCCCATGGTAAATCGGAAGGAGTAAAACTGGAGAGCAAAGTCACAGGTCAAGGACCTAGGCTTTGATATTTATGCAGTGAAATGCTAAAAACAGAAGTAGATGATATGAAGAGAATTAGTCTTAGAAATAGATGGTTGTTAATGCGGAGTTTTCTCTAGGTACAGTATGAGTGAAAAAACAACAACAACAACAACAACACACACACACACATATATATATATATATTTGAGAATATCAGTAATAGGCAACCTACCAAACATCCTAGCAACCACCCAGAACACCGTAAAAATCTTGTTAGGTTTTATCTTGAATTGAGAAGTCTTGCTTTATTATCTTTAATGGGATCAGTTAAAAACTTATTTTAAGAAGTAACACATTAAAGGTGATGCAAAGGAGCTCAAATTAAAAATTCTGAGGCCGATGACATTGAATGCTCAATTAGGTTTAACCTTTCATTTGAATCCTAACACCTCCTACTAGAGATTATTTTAAAGAACCACGTCTACCAGGCAGTTTTCTCATTTGTGTTCTGAGAATAGTACATTTCTGCTTTATTTTATTTGTTTGCTCTATAATGAAGTCACCTCAGATTCTTTGCCCAGTTGACCACGCTAGATGTGATATAGCAATTTACACCTCTTGTGAAAGTTTGCAGGGTCACCTACATTAAGATACTGAGTAGCCACACTTTTCAGCTCATTAAATGAAAGAAAATGACTCTGTACATATCTTGATATACATAAATATCAATATCACCCTCTAAGTACATTTAATTGGTGTCGTTACTTAATATCCAAAAGTATAAGCTAAATAACCATCAAATAATTGGATCCATTTTTGTTAAAGTCACAAAGATCACAATTTCTCAATGATATGAAAAAAAGTTGTAGTTTTGATGAAAAAAACTCACCACAGGCTAGGGCTGGGCAAAAAATATCGAATGCGATTTTCATGCGAATCTCGTCAGTAAAGCCGCTTCTGGTGATTAGTAGTAAATCTCCAGCACATGAAAATCGCCTTCGATTTTTTGCACAGCCCATCACAGGCTGATGCCATGGTCACTGGTGTCCCAAATGACATACTCTACACTTGTTTTTTGTTCATCCAGATATTTGAAGTGTACTTCCTGTTGGAATTTTCATTGCAAACACTGCTCACACTATTTCTACTATAAAATGGCATAGATAGATAGATAGATAAAATGGATAGTGCATAAGCATGCAAATTCGTATGCACCTACTCAGACATCGGCAAACAGACATACCTGCTTGAGCCAGACACCATTAGGTCAGAGAGTTTCCCATAATGCTGAGCATGCAACCATGTCTAATCCTCGACTCGCTGCACAAAAATATCTGTTTGTGCATGAAGCAGCATAGAAAGCCAGTGACTGTTCCCAGTGTGACTGATGATAAGAAAATGTAGACTGACTTGCGATATAACAATACTTTTAATAAGAAACATTTACAACTTCTTGT